GGAATCCATCGAAGCACTGGACTATGCTTAATGCTGCTTGGCATCCCTGTCCCTAGCCTGAGGGAGGTGCCATTCAGCATCATTCTGCTAAAGTCACTCTCTGTGGTGCCACCTACTTTGCAGGAACAGGCACTAACCACAGACAAGTAGGGGGCAACTGGAAAGGTCCAGATGTCTGAGCAGTTGGCTGAGCAGGGTGTATTGAGCCAGAATTCAGACCTAGCCTATGCCATCGGAGTCACAGATGACATCATGGGGCCTTGATGCCCAGAAATGACAACAGTAACAACTGCCACTTCTGTCACTTTGAGGTTAATTAGACCCAGGGCACCTCCCAGGGCTCAGATAGGTCCCATGACTTGGCCAGGGACTCAACATGTGAGAGGGGCCAGGACTTAAGGGGGAGAGAGGGTTTTTTAATCTTTCTTTTTTTTTAAAATTTTTAAATTTTTAATTTTTTTTTTTTTTTAGATTTTTAAATTTTAATCTTTTTTTTTTTTAAGATTTATTTTTATTTAACATTATTTATTTATCTTAATTTGACCAGAAAGGGACAGAGTGAGTGAAAGAGAAAGAGAGAGAAAGTGAGAACTCAAGCCACCAGATCTGGGACACGAACCACATTCAGCCATGTGGGAGTCTAGCACCCTTAACCACTATGCCACCTGTTGGCCCCCCATTTTGATCTTTGAGAGGTGAGAGTGGTCTAGAGTCCTGACCTGGGCATAAGGTGAATAATGGACAGATTCAAGGACAGGGAGTGTGGCACGACACAGCCACCAGGCAGGGTGCGTGTGGGGAGGGGCTGACTGCACAGTCTGTAGAGGACGTGTCCGTGGGCTTGCAATCTGAGGCGCTTCGGCAGCAACTCTGGCAACTCCAACTCAGAGAACAAGACTTCAGAGGCCAGCTGAAAACAAGATACATTCCAAAAATAAATGCTTTCCTTTGTAACAGTAATTACCAGTTAGAAATGAAGTAAAAATGTTCCATCTATAATAGCAACAAAAACTATAGAAAGCCCAGGAATAAACATATCAGGAAAGACAGGAGACGTAAAGCAAACCACATGTCTCTTCTCAAAACAGGAAAACAAGCCGTGAGCAAATGATTTCACATTGCAAGCACACTCAAAACATCACATTGTGCCCCACAGATGTGTATAATTATCGTTTGTAAATTTAAAATAAAATAAAGACAGACCCTATCTCTACACATAAGGATTTTACTTTGTTAAAAAGGTTCCTTCTCAAATTAATATTAAAAAACTATTGAGGGCCAGCCAGTGACATGGTGGTTAAGGCAGTTAGATCCCACATGACCAACTGCACGGTTTGCATCCTGGACCCAGCAGCTTGGAAAATATGCTGGGCACATGTGCATACATGCCCAAAATCCTGAGAAGAGAATGGAAAGAGGGGGCCTGGCCGTCCCCCTGGAGGGTGCTTTCTTTCTTTCTCTTTCTCTCTGGCGAGTGCATAGGCCCTATAACAAATCTTTAAAAAAAAAAAAAAATTTTTTTTAAAGCCATTACAGTTACAATAAAAATCCCAATTTTCTTTTTCTAGACAGCACATGTGCTCACTGGAGAAAGAGGAAGAGAGAGAGAACGCCCCCTAATGGGGTGTGGTCATGCTGTAATGCCTTTCTCCTCCATTTCTCCCTCTTCAGATCAGCCATGTGGAATCTGGTTCCCTTAACCACAGCCCCCAACCTTTTATTTTATTTATTTATTTATTTCATGAGAGAGGAGAGAGACACCCTCAGCAGGGTCTTGTCATGCCACAGTCCCCTTCCTCTAGTCCTCAAGCTAGACGGGATCCTGGGCATATGCGCCTGGAATGTTTCAGGTCAACTCAGGACCCAAACTTGCAGTTAGCCATGAGGCTTCCAGCACTACACATCAGTATGCCACCACCTGTACCACTGAGGCTAGGCCTGGGTGTTTTTCTTTAATAGGAATAGGAGAGCTTAAATGTGCTTTCTAAAATCTGACAAACATGAAAATAGACAAGCTGTGTTTGAAAAAGAAAACAGATGAAGGGTAACTTGTCCTCCAGATAGCAAAAGATACTCTGAATCTCCTGTAATGAGCAGACCTGACAGGGAGAGATGAATCAACCAGTGGAAGCGGGCTGGACAGCACCCTGGGCCACAGAGGAGCCAGCAGGCAGAAGGGCAGTGTCTTCAGTGGGCACACAGTGGGTTCTTGTCCACACTTACATTCCCCTGGCATTCTAGCACAAAGGCGATTTCAAATGGGCTTAGATTTAAATAGTTGTAAATTATTATCAGTTGAAACAAAAGAAAGCTGTCCTTATCTTGGGACAGATAAGATTTGTCTAAAAAGCCACTAAAAAAAAATTGATCAAATTTCACAAATAAAAAATTAGAGCTTTTGGAGCCAGCAGATGGCATAGTAGTTAAGGTACTGGACTCTCACATGGCCGACCATGGTTTGAGTACCAGACCCAGTGGCTTGACACACATGCCAGGTGTGTGTGTGTGCGCCAAATCCCAAAAGGAGAAAGGGATTGTGGCGGAGCCATTCCCCTGGGGGATCGTTTTTCACTCTTTCTCTCGATCTCTCCCTATGTCTCCAGTGAGCACAAGCACCCTATAGCAAAAATCTTCACCCCCAAAAAATGAGCTTTTGAATATAAGAAGACACATAAACCGAATAAAAATGAGCAAGAGTTGGGGCGTGTGGCACCTAGACCTAGGATCAGCACTTGATGTGCAAAGAAAGTACCTGAAACAAGCAACTTAGCGAGAAGCCACCGAAGTCTATGAATGGGTATTCAGAGGAAAAAATTAGAACTACACATGAACAAATGCTTCCTCTCATTCATTAGTGCAGAAATGCAAATTAACTCAAGACACTAGTTTCCCCATCAAGTTGGCAAAGCTGCAAAGACCCAGAGCATCTGAGTGGCGGCAGATTCAGCATTCACATCAATGGGTCATTTAGGAGGGGAGTTTGTCAGCAGCCATTGAAATCAGAAATGTGTCACCTGTGTCCCAGCAACACCACGTAAACCTGAACCCTCACAAACATAGCTTTGCTGCCTAAAGACATCCACACAATGAGGCTACGCAAAGCATTGGTTATAACAGGAAAGCATCAGAATCGTCCAGAGTGCCTCCGTACAGAGAGGAGGGACCACCATTGTCTGAACATGCAGGTCCCACAAGGTCCATCAAGGAGGTGGATCCTGGCCCAGGCCCTCTGTGAGCTGTTGAGGATGCTCATAGGCATGGGCAGGTGGCAAGCACTACCAGGTGGGATAAGAAACCCCAGGGGCTGGCAGCAGAGGAGTCATGAGGGCTCTTGGCCCAAGGCACTAAAGCAGGGGAAAATGACCAGGGCCCAGTGCAAGCCAAGTCACGAGGAGGCATCTGGGAAGTGTCAGGCAGCTGCACCCACCAGAATCTGCTCAGCAGGGAGGTGTGGGAGACAGGCAAGTGGCAAAGGAGCCTGCTGGTGTGCCACACAGCCATCCTCGGGGAAAGGGTAGGACACAGAAGGACCAAGGGGGGTCCCTGACCTGGAAAGAGATTTATGGTATCAAAAAACCCAGAATGTAGGACAAATGCAGTGCATAGAGAGAAGAGCCCATACTTGGATGCACTTGTGTGTGTGCACATGTGTATATGTGTGTGTTTGCATGTGTGTGTGCATGTGTTCAGCACAAGAAGGCCCCTGGGAGCCCCACTAGTCATGGAAGTGGAGCCATCTGAGCATGCCACTTTTGAGGGCACAGTTGGCTCACAGTTAGTTCATGCTGCAAGGGGAAAGGGTTCCAGGATGATAAATGGTTTTTAGTTTCTTCCTGTAACATTTCTCTTTTCTTTGAATAAAATATCTCCTAAGGAACAAAAAAGAAGTTTGAGGCAGAATTGACTGAAGTTGGTGATGGCTGGATTGGGCAGGGCTTGGATGGAGTTGGGGGGCTCTGGCCGGTCTTGTTCCTAAGACAGAAATCCCAACAGAGATGAATCTAAGAGGGGAGTCCCAGACAGGACAACCAATTGGTCTTGGGGTCCTGCAGTGCAGGACTTTCAGTGAAACCTGGGTACCATCTGGTCATCCTGGACTTCACAGCAGACCGTGAGGTAGATCTGAGGTTACATGAAGAGGTCACAAGGCCACCCCGGTAGAGGACTGTGGCTGGCTCCAGCTCCACCATAAGTCACAATGGGTAGCCCAGGATGAAATATTGAGTGTCACCTCTAGTGGACTAGAGAGGGCACTGAGAGGCAAATAGGGCCGAGTGGGAGAGACTCAAACGGTGTGACCTAACTCTGGAGCAACACACCACCAGACCCTAGTTAGCTCTTCCATGGCCTGCTGTGTGGCCATATGCAGCTTTCTGAACCTCTCTGGACTCAGCTTTCTGTTGGTAACATGAGGATGATAAAGCCTAGCCCCTACATGCAGCTGTCCTGGGATGAAGCAGGGAAGACACAATACGCACGGTGCCCAGCCCCAGGCAGCGTCCACACCATCAGGCGCCTTAGGCCTTTGATGTGGACCCAGGATGGGAGTGCATGCCCTCGTGGATGCAGTTAGGAAAACCCCAGCTTTTGAACAGAAGGGAAACCTTGTCTTTCCTTCAAAAAATTGAAATCCAGTTTTTGAAGAATATACCTAAGACTGAAAAGCCCTACCACTCAGAGAGGTCAGGGAAGGAGATCTAGTCATGTGCCCCTCAGCAGGTGGGGCGGGTCTGTGGGGGCAGGAAGTCTTGGAAGGGCACTGGTGAGTGCCTTGGGGCCTGCACTAACCCAGACCTGAGAGCTCTAGGGCTGCTAGACACAGAAAGCTGCTGCTCCTCCCCAGGGGAGTCTCTGCGGTGGGGGAGTCATTTCTGCAGCCATGCAGGCACTGTCATGAAGAGCAAGGTGGTCCCCGAGACACATGCGGTGGTGCCCATGGCACAGTGCTGCCCGACCGAGGCCTGCTTTCCCGGCACTAATGGGCCTGTTGGTGCCCGCAGGCTCACATCTACTCTCTGGGGGCCACACTGAAGGCAGCCCTGGAATACGTGGCAGAGCCTGAGCTGGAGCCCAGGCTGAGCCAGGACCTGGAGGCACTACTGAGCCAGATGCAGGCAGAGGACCCTGGGGACCGGCCCAGCCTTGAGGTAAACTCCCACCCACCCCTCAGGCCAAGACCTCCACCCTCCATTTGCCCCAGACACGCCCAACACACACACACACAGACCCAGGAACCTTGCTTGGGTTGGCAGCCCTGGAATACGTGGCAGAGCCTGAGCTGGAGCCCAGGCTGAGCCAGGACCTGGAGGCACTACTGAGCCAGATGCAGGCAGAGGACCCTGGGGACCGGCCCAGCCTTGAGGTAAACTCCCACCCACCCCTCAGGCCAAGACCTCCACCCTCCATTTGCCCCAGACACGCCCAACACACACACACACACAGACCCAGGAACCTTGCTTGGGTTCCTTCACCAGAATGTGGTGCTATTGAATATTAACGAAGGACTTAAATTTTTTTGTACGCTTTTGTTACGAAAGGTTTTGGCTTATAATGATCATGGGCTAAACAGAATCTCCTGACTTTCCGCAATCCCAGCTTGCATTGATTTTTATACCGGAAAATGGACATGGGGGGTGGGCAGGATCCAGGGACAGCCTGCCTGTCACGTCCAGGAAGATGTGGTACTGTGTAAAAGTGGGTGGGCCTTCGAAGGGCAGGCCTTTCTCCTTGGCGAGCCTTCCAGTCTGAAGCATGCACCTCCTGTCCGCAGAGCATCATAGCGCTGTGCGAAGAAAAGATGCAGCTCACATCCTCCTGCCGCCTGTGCCGGAGCCTCTCAGCTGTGGGAAGGAGGGTGCTCTCCATCGAGTCCTTCGGAGCGTTTCAAGGTAAGGACGTGCCACATTTGCATGTATGTGAGTACACATGCATGCAGGTGTCACAAGGTCCTCAGGAAGGTGGATCCTGATGTGTGTTCATGTAATATACATTCACATATGCCTATGCACACATGCCAACACATTACATGCACATAACACATGTTCATGCTAACATACTCATATACCTTATGGCATACATGCTCATGTACATCATATATGTACCCCTATGTACATACATTTTCACACATTCTCACTTGCTTGGTCACACACACACATAAATTTATACACATCTATTTATATTACTCACTCTCATACAAACATGTACCTCATTTATACACCCATACTCTTGTGTATACCGTACATATTCACACACACATATTTAAACTGTGTACACTTGCATTTCCACACTTGCTTACACTTTCAGCATCTGTGTAAGCCTTGCAGACACCTGTGCAATTAGCAGTTCCGAAGTGACTGGTGCCAATATTGGTTATCCACGTCCTAGTCTCACAAGCGCTTTGTAAATGGACACAGCGATAGGTCACAATCCATTTCTGTTTGCCAACGTGACAAAGCATTTCTCTGCAGTGCAAAGCTGTTGCTGTCACATGTGGGATTTTCGCAGCTCACATGAGATGCTGGCATCTCCTTTGAACAAATGCCACAACTGCTCTGGGTTGTTGCCTGTAGCACGGGACCTCAGGGGGCCTCTGGAAATGGCTCTGCAGGGTCCCTACAGCCTTACAGAGCTTCACCATGACTGCACAGCTCTCCCCGCCAAGTGAGGGGCATTTCCAATCTGAGTCAGTGTCTGCGATGCTGCAGCCCTGGGAGACTTCTGCCAGCATTGCTCCCAGATCAGCAAGAACGTTAACACTTCAGAGAGCAGAGACCCCGAGGAATGGCCACAGAGTGACCAAAGGGGCCATGCATGTCCAGAACTACTCATGCAAAGATATGTGAGGGTGTCCGCCAGGATGACAGCAGCCAGGTTCAGTTTCTTCCTTTGGGGAATATCACTGTGTAATCATCATTTTTAAATGAGTTTTTGGATGAGGTAATTAGATGGGCCCAGGGCTCCTGGAGGAAACCCTAGTGGGGAGTTCTGCCTGGCCTTGGGGAGAGGGAAGCCCAGGAGCCTTCTAGAGCCTCTAATTAGCCGGGGTTGTGTGACTAATGAGTCAGGCAAGGAAGTTTCTGGGGCCTGCACTGAAGGAAGGGGAAGGGGATCTGGGGGCCCCGGACAGGAACCTGCGTCAGTAAGACCCTATGCTGGGGGGCGGTGGTGATAGATGGGATGGGGGGAGTCCCGGTCTCTGCCCTCCATGATCATCTATCTTGTTTTGTGTCCAGATGTCAGTGAAAACACCTGGAGGGGCAGACCTGCTCCAAGAAGTGTAGGGCCCAAGAGGTCACTTGGGGACCTCAGCCCTGACCCAGAAGCCCTGCCTGCTCCTGGGGGCCTGCCCCAGCCTCCTGCTTCAGAAGGCCCAGAGCGGGAAACTGATCGAGGCTCCAGATCCCTGCTCTCTAAGTCTCTGCTATCAGGCCCTGTGAAAAACGGGGAAAGCCACAGCCGGGACGGGCTGCCCAGCCTCATCCTGGACAACAGGTGCCCCCTCGGTGAGCTGGACAGAGACTTCCTTAAGAGAAGCCGCCTGAGGAAAGTGCAGACGTTTCCCAGGCTCCTGCCTGAGGGCCCTGAGGCCAATGGCCTCTGCCTGTCACTGACCAGCACGAAAAGCCAGCTGCCCGTGTCCGAATTCTTCCCTGCAGACCCCAGGAAAGTCTTGCCGGAGGGGAAAAATGGCCTGTTTAGCATCAAGGCACCATCTACCCGCAGACTGTGGCCTGAGCAGGAATCCAAACCCCAGCCAATGGAGCCTCCAGGCACAGGCCACGGAGATGACAGGGGACCTGGGGTTCCTGGAGACTTAGGACCACCTGAGACAGCAGCACATCCTGACCAGGCCCCTGCAGAGGAAAGACCCTGTCCCTGTCCTATGGACCCTGGAGATGCAGACCAGGTAACCCAGACTCCTGAGGATGACAAGACAGAAGAAGCTGGGCAGCCAGGAAGTACAGCCACGGAACAGGTGGGCAACCCATCTTCCACGTGGTTGGGGGTTGGTGGGTGAGCTGGGGGCATGGCTGTCTGCACTGCTCATAACCTCAGATGCTCTATTCGATGAGAGGAAGGTGGCCTCAACCTTCACTCTTGCTTCAAAGTTAAGTTTTCATCAAGCTGTGCTGTTTTTGAAGAAAGCCATTAATACAGCCAGGTCTGGAGGGCTGCTGGCACTCCGGGCATGGACCTGGCCAGAGCCTCTCTCTGAGGCTTCTCTGGAGGTCGATCTTTGCCACTAGATGACTCGGAAAGCAGCCCAGGCCCCAGCTTACATGCAGCACCATTGAACAAGGCTCATCCTGAGGGGAGTGAGGCCAGAAGCCCCAACCCCCATTGGGTTATTTCAGGGGCTTAATTTCCCAGTTCAGAGCCTTACTTAGTTCCCTTTTCTGTTTGTTTTTAAAGTTAAAAACCAGACCTGTGAGCTCACCACCAAACTGTTTACCTGAAGGTTGCCAGAAAGTGTCTGTACCCAAGCAGCCACTGGCCATGCTTGGTGCTGGATTTCATGTACCTGCCAGTACAGGACCACCTCAGCCTGGTGCTGTCCCCTTGTCAGCTGTCCCTTCTGAGGGATAGCTTTGTTTGGAGACAGCCATTCTGGAAGGTTTGGGTGGTTTTTAGTGTCACCACCAGCAACCTGAGTAGCCTGTGGTGTCCATCAGCCCACCTGTCCAGCAGAGGACACCTGGGTGGGAACTGTATAAACCTGTCTCTCACCTGGTGAGTTGGGCCCTGTAACTCTGGGTCCCTGTGAGCTCTTCCGGGAAAGGCCGCTTGGAGCCACTGACCCAAATGTGTGTCCACTGAATAGTACCTGGACCTGAGAAAGTGTGATGCCAACAGACTCCTTTCCCACAGGCTTTATTGACCCAAAGAACAAGAGGGAGAGGGGCAATTCTGTGATTCATATCTTTATTTATACTTTGATGAGCACTTGAGGATAATTCACGTGGGAAGTACGGTTACTTTAAAGCAGAAGAGTCCATCTCATAGTCCGTGGAGCACAGACAGGTCTTCGTCTGTCTGGACTTGATACACACAAATGTGCTCATTCACCATCTCTTGCAGTCTCCACTAGCACCCTGGATTGACATACCTTTCCAGGCACAGTTGCCTAAGAATAACCCACTTTCAGATGGGTAAACTGAGGCACAGAATGGCTGAACGATCTGTCGGAGAGCAGATAGCACTGAGGGGCATAGTTGAGATCTTAGCCCTGCCCAGAGCACAGATAACTGGGGAGCCCACCTATCATCTTACCTACCGGGCATCCTTGGCCCAAAGACCAAGCACTTCCATGTCCCAGGATCAGAGCCCATCCAGACCTCAGCCCTGGAACCGGGCATGGCCCATCAGTTGTCAAGGCTGGTCTGGAGCAAGGTACTCCCAGCTCAGGTTCAAAGTTTGGTGCTCTGACCCCTCATGTAACCTATGCTGGTGCGGGGCACCATGCCCAGAATGCAGTGACATTAAGTATATTCACATTGTCATGCAGCCATTACCACAACTCATCTCTAGAACTCTTCCATCATCCCAAACTGAAACTCTGTCCCCAGTAAACACCATCTCCTCATCCCTCTCATGCCGCTGGCAACCTGTTCTACTTCTGTGTCCATGAATTTGAACATTCTAGGAATCTCTTGTAAATGGAATCATACAGTGTCTGTCCTTTTGTGATTGGCTTACCTCATTTAACATAATGTCCTCAAGGTTCATCTGTATTGTGGCATGTGTCTAAATTTCCTTCCTTTTTAAGGCTGAATAATATTCCATTGTATGGATGGACCACATTTTGTTTGTGCATTTATCTGTTGATGGATACTTGGTTGCTTCCACCCCTTGGCTATTGTAAATAATGTTGCATGAATATTGTATGAAAATACTCATTTAAGGGACCAGCAGTTGGCGTAATGGCTATGTCACTGGACTCCTATATAGTCGACTGCAGTTCGAGTCCCAAAACTGGTATCTTAAACTCACACAGAGCATGTGTGCATGCGTGCCCAAGATCCTGAGAGGAGAATGGAGGAAAAAGGCTTACGGTGTGGGCATCGCCTTTGGGGGGTGATTTCTTGTTTTCTGTCTCTCTGTCTGTCTCTGTCTTTCTGGCGAGCACACGCATCCTATAGCAATAACCTCTCCAAAAAGAAAAAAAAGGAAATATCTATTTAAGACCCTGCCTTTTTTTTTTTAAGAATTATTTTATTTAACATTATTTATTTGTTTATTTTTATTTGACCAGCGAGGGACAGAGAGAGAGAGAAAGTTAAGAAAGCAAGCCTGCAGGTCAGGGATTCGAACTGTGGTTAGCCATGTGGGAGTCCAGTGCCCTTACACCATACTACCTGCCAGCCCCTAAGACCCTGCTTTCAATTCTTCAGGTATATACCTGGAAGCGGAATTGCTGATCATATGGTAATTGTTTAGCTCTTTGAGGAGCCACCCTACTGTTCCACAGCAGTTGCTTTATTTCACATTCTCACCAGCAGTGCACCAGGGTTCCTGTTTCTCCCCATCCTCACCAACAGTTGTTTGACTTCAGGACTTCCCCACTTCTGTTTAGCTGGCTTGTAGTATGTGTTCAGGGCAAATAGGTCTGAAGTGGTCTTCATTCTGGATGTCCTTCCTGAGGTACCTGGGCAACTCCTCTTCCAAGGTGAGGCATTTCTCAGTGATGTTGCTTCTTTCCCTCCCACAGTGGGTATCTCTGCAGGATCTCTTGTCCAAGCTGGGCCGGCCCTTCAGGGAGTACGAGCTGTGGGCCCTATGCCTTGCCTGCCTCAGGGCTCTGCAGATGCATGCCAAGCATCCAGGTGATGTGTCTCATCTCCCGTATAACCTGCCTGCCTGAACCAGGCCAGGCAGCACTGTTCATGCTGAGCCAGAGGCAGGAGACTCAGCCTGTCCAGGGCAGATGCTTACAATGAGGGTCTTAAACTGGCAACCCCTGTTATAAAGAGAAACAGGAGCCGGTACAAATGGCTCCAGCCCACACATTCTCAATGGGAATGACATTGAGTCCAAGGAAGCAAAACTTGGCTTGGGGGAGTAGGGGGAGGGAATCTAAGGCATGTCACGGGTCTATGGACCCCCAAAGCTCTACCTTGCCAAATAGCAGGACAGATGAACAGTACATCTGTGTTATTAAAATGTCATGGATGGAAGGATGAGGACAGTGTCCAGAAGGGCTAGGGGGATGGTTACCAGAGAAATGCTGCTCTCTGGTCTTGGTGTCCCTTTGCTGTATGCCAGTAAGCTGCCTCTCAGACCCATACTGGGGACCCACAGGGGTACAGTCAGCTGGGCCCTAACCTCCTCTGGGATGTGCCTCTCCAGGGGCAGCAGTCAGCGTGTGGGCCACCAACTCCCCACCTAGCCCCTCTTTGTCCAGCTCCCTTTTATTCCCAGCTTGATGTGCCCAGTGTAACTATACCAGTGTCTACTGAGACAACTCTGCCTGCTGGAGTAGAAAGGGCATCTCAGAAGAGACCCCCACAATACCCTGTCCATTCCTGGCCAGTCTGTTGGAGGCCTCTTTTGGGGGGAGGACGCCAAGAAAGTGCCAGATCCGGTGCCCTGGCATCCCCTGGGTGACAGGAGGGCTGAGGGGAGGGGCCGCCCCACCAGAACAAAGGCTCTGCATGTCCTTGGAGGGCAGGTTTGGCCCTCTGCCTGTCCTGACCCTGAGCTCTATTGCAGCCTACCTGTGTCTGGACTCTGTGCTGGTGGCTGAGGATGGAGTTGTGCTCTTTGGGCCACCCCCTGTCAATGGTGAGTACATTGAGTCACTCCCAGGGGCTAGGTTTCGGCATTGCTTTGTTCAGGGGCCAAAGGGCGAACTAAGCAGGAGTTTTCTCTCTTAGGCTCTTACAACTCATTCTTTTTGGCTCCTGAGGTGGCCGAGGAAAAGCTGGTGACTGAAAAGGTAACTGGGTCCTCCCCATTCCTTCTCATGGCC